ACTTTGGTAGTTTAGTTTGATAATTGCTATCCCATTTAAGAGTTTCAACACTGTGAAGGGGACAACAGACAACGAAGGGAGAATGTGTCTACAGCAAGTTACAGGCAGTGCTTTCAGTTCAACTCAACAATGGGTCTAGTGAGTTAATCCAACTGTTCTCCCTCCCTTTTCTGAAATAATTGCTAATCTATTATTATGATACGAATTCATAAATTTAAGTCTACTAAAAACTCCTTTTTTAACTTAATCTTCAGTCTAGGTTTGATGAATCTTATTAATGTTTTATTTGAACGTTTTTATTTAAAAGCATTTTCTACTTCAAAACATAGGAAAACAAATCGTGTCCAGCTCAACAGGGGAATCTGATTAAAAGATACCATTTAGCATTTGGTAGTAAAGAATTAACATCATTGCCAAGTCTGATGATAATTTATATTTTTTTAACATGCTATCTAGAAAAGAAGTTGATGAGGTAATGCCTGTAGGCAGTGCTGGGGCTGTGTTATAGGAGTTAATAAAGGGAAGGAACTAGCAATTTTAAAAAACGTAAGAAATTCTAACTTAACTATGTTGGCCTAAGCTTACAGGCACTTTTATTTCTATTTATTGTAGATAAGTAATATAATTTCTTAGAAACTCCAAAGGCTGGGGAAACAGAAGAAGCTGGACTATACAAACGATTTGCTCATTTTTATTGGCCAAACCTTTATTTGGACACCATGTGTTCACTTATGCAACAGATTCTTTACTGAGCACCTGCTATATGTCAGTCATGACACTAGATGCTGTGGACACAATAGCGAACAAAAATAGATGTGGTCCCTATCATTAAGAAGCTTACAGGTTAGTGGTGGAAAGACAATAATCATACACCCACAGACATAAACTTAAAAATACAATATAAGTACATGGAGTATGTGCTGCTTTTTTTGGTTGTTTATTGTTGTAGTTTAAGTGGAAGTTTACATTTCAAGTTAGTCTCTCATACGAAAATTTATATATACATTGTTATGTGACCCCAATTGCTCTCCCTATACTGTGACAGCACACTTCTCCTTTCCACCCCCAATTTCCCATGTCCATTCAACCAGCTCCTATCCCTGTCTGCCTTCTCATCTCACCTCCGGACAGAAGCTGCCCATCTAGC